GCTATCAGAGAAAGGAGGATCCGATTTGGGAAATGGAGACACTACTATTCGATCATATGAGTATTGGCAGGTTGATTCCTCAATATATATTTCTCTTTTAAACTAAATAGATTCAATAAATTATATATCAACTACGTGCGGATGGACATGTGTTTGTATGTATAAACTCCAGAAAGATATAGACATGATGACCGAGCTCGGGGCTGATGCCTACAGATTCTCCATTGCGTGGTCAAGAATCATTCCAAGTATGTACATATTGTTGATCCATATATATAAATCGTAGTATTCAATTGTGATTCCTTGAAAGAGTAAATGTATGATATATATGAGCAGGAGGAAAGGTGAGTAGGGGATTGAACCAAGACGGTATTACCTATTACAACAATATCATAAATGGCCTCATCGAACGGAAGAAAATTCCTTTTGTTACCCTCTTCCACTGGGACCTTCCTCAAACACTGCAAGACGAGTATGAAGGTTTCTTGGACCGCAGGATCATGTATGTTAGTTATGACATGCTTCTTATTAAGAAAGTTGACTACGTATAAAGATTTGATCTCTGCATTAACAAAATGATTCTATAATATGTGCAGAGACGATTTAAAAGATTATGCGGATCTATGTTTCATGCTATTTGGTGATAGGGTAAAGAACTGGATCACGATCAACCAGCTCTACACAGTTCCTACGAGAGGATATGCCATGGGAGATGATGCACCCGGTCGGTGTTCTTATTGGCTTAACAAAAGTTGTTATGCGGGAGATTCTGGAACTGAACCTTACATCGTTGCACATAACCAGCTTCTTGCTCATGCCACGGTCGTCGAGCTTTACAGGAAGAAATATAAGGTAGCTTCTCCATTGGTAAAAGGTGTAATAAAAAAATCATTTATAATTAATTTAATCATCATTGTGTCTTTGTGACAACAGACTGACCAAGGAGGACAGATTGGACCTGTGATGATAACTAGATGGTTTCTTCCATATAATCTCACCGATCAAGCTAGCTTAGATGCAACTTATAGGATCAAAGAGTTCTTCTTCGGATGGTAAATATATATGCAAAAATGAAATGACTTTTGTACATTTACATAGATATATAAACTTGATATCAAATATGTATGTATGTAGGTTCATGGAGCCGTTAACAAACGGTAAATACCCAGACATCATGAGGAAACTTGTTGGTGATCGGCTTCCAGAGTTCAGTGAAACAGAATCCTTACTTGTAAAGGGTTCATTTGACTTTCTTGGTCTCAACTATTACTTCACTCAGTACGTCTATGCCATTGATCCGAATCCTCTGAACAGACTCAGCGTCGTGAATGACTCACTCTCAGCAGTCTCATGTGACCACTCTTATCTATCATATCTCCTTTTAATAATTACAACATTTTTGTGACTATTCTTACCATCTAATTTTTCATTCTTATGTTTACAGTTGTTAATGCAAGTGGTCATATCATTGGTCCATTGGTATGCATGATCCACCCCCAATTATTTCATTACGTTTCTAAATAAAGTAACATAAATATAATTTAGGGTTTATGTATGCTTCCCTTTCTCAGCTGAATGGAAAAATTTATTACTACCCAAGAGGCATTATGAATGTAATGGAGTATTTCAAAGAAAAATACGACAACCCTTTGATCTATGTAACCGAGAACGGTGAGTTCTATACTATCTAGCCATATCTTTTCATCTATACATGTTTAGTATATTTCAAAGTTGGTCCAAAACTAACTCAAATATTGTGTAATTGTTCATGTTACGATGGTTTAATTAGGATATAGTAGCGCTGGTGACGTATCCTTTGAGCAGGGTTTTGCCGATTACAACCGGACTAGTTATATCTGTAGTCATCTCTGTTTTCTCCGCAAGGCCATCAAGTGAGTCGATGCTACTATATATCTTCTTCCAATTTTTGTTTTTTTTTGGGTATACATGCATATATGTATGATCATCAATTGTACAATCTTTAATGATTGTTCATGTTTTCAGGGAGTTGAAGGTCAACGTGAAAGGATACTTTGTATGGGCTCTTGCAGATAATTATGAATTCGGCAACGGCTTTACCGTCAGATTCGGACTCAGTTACATTAATTTCACCGATCCCAATCTTGATAGAAAGATCAAATCATCAGGCATATGGTACAATAAGTTCTTGAACGTTACTACTAAGGACTCGGATGAGAACGCTATGCATAGCTCATCGCTCTCATTTAGGAACCGTGATCGGAAGAAGCTTGCAGATGCATGAAAGACCCAAACAACTTTATGCCCATCAAGATGATCATCTTCATGTCTCCTCCTCAGTCTACTTTTTTTTTTCTTTGTTTGAAACTTCCTCAGTCTACTTGCTCCATAGATAAGGAGCTTCTTCTATGTACTGTTTTAAATTAAAAACCGAATAAAAGATGATCAATATTAATAAATATGTTCTTTACTATATTATGTCAAAGGATTGGAAAAAAATTCGAAACAGTAACGTAACCGAAATTTGCATGTTTACTTATTTTTA